CTGTCAGGGGGCACGGGGGCTGCTCGGGGCTGCCGTTCATAACGAGCACCATTATCTGGCGAGGGGGCTGCGGCTCCCCGGGCCCATCGCCCCCGGCAGTTCCTGCCCGGCTCTCACGGGCGGCTCGTCCTGGAAATGGATCGGGAGCGGTGGCACTGGTGCCAGTGCGGCCCTGCGCGGGCACAGCGCAGCCGGGGCGGCTCACGGCGTGCTCGGGGCTGGCTGCGCACCTGAGCAGCGGCACCCCGCGGGAGCAGAGGTGCTCTGGAGTAACACGGATCTGCAGTTTCTGGCCGCAGCTCTGGCTTGCCTCCGGGTGTTGCAGGAGTGGCCCTTGTCCTTGGCGTGGGAAGTTCAGCCCCGGGGCCGGCTCAAGGCTCAGCACGTGTGGGTTCCCTTGCAGGGCTGGTGGTGGCAACAGAGCAGGGTCCGGCCCTGGCATGCTCAGCTACTTGTGGTGACTTTATTCTGGCACGGCTCAATCAGTTTTAGATGAAGGTGTGACCACATCAAATTGTATTTTTATGATTTTACGTTACAACTTTCCGTGAGGGTGGCAGAACACTGAAAGAGACTGCCCAGGGAGGGCATGGTGACATCTCCAAACTCCTCTCTGGAGGCATTCCAAACCCATCTGGATGTGTTCCTGTGTCACCTGCATTGGGTGACCCTGCCTTGGCAGGGGGTTGGACTGGATGTTTTCCAGAGTTCCTTTACAACCTTAAGGATTCTGTGATTTATTTCAGGAAGGTAAACTCAACCTGATGGTCAAGGTTTGGGATAATCCTTGTTTAGTGATGTGCCTGTGCCACCTTGTTGACACTCCTCTCTATCTGTATTGCTCTGCACAGTTTTGTGACTGAAGTGCTTAACTGGCAGGAAAAAATTGTTCCCATTCAATCTGTACACAGGAATGATGCTGAATAGCAGCAGTGGGGCAAATTGAATCCATCACAGAATTTCTGGGGAAATTAGTCTCTCTTCAGAAGCAATAACTTAAATAACATTAGGATTATGAAGAAATAGGGCATCTTCAAACATCCCCAGCAGTGAGAGACCTCACCAAACAGTTCCTTGCTGCTGTGGCTTCTCTTGTCAAATTTGACCAGTTCTGTTCACAGCAAAACTTAGGTGTTAAATAGTGTGAATTCCAGAAGTTTTTTGCAACGGTGGTTAGACCTTGCTGCAGTGAATATGCAATAATGGGCTATTGAGGGGGGGTTTTTTCCCCTATGATAGCTTCATGAAGAGGGACTTAGTAAATAGCTGTATTGTGAGTTTTTTTAATAGGAAGTTGCTGGCTGTGATTTTTTTTTCACTGTATTTTTCCCAGGTTGTACTTTGTGTATCTTATGTGCAACCTCAGTTCACACAGGTTATGTTAGGAAATTATTTTGCATACTAATACTGGAGATTTAGTACTTCCTTAGTTGAAAGGAAGTTTAGATAAAACATGAGTTCATTTGCTTTCACTTTCACTTGCATTCCTACTGCAATGAGCTGTATCCTTACTTCACCTTCCCTTTGATAAATGTTTTCTGTATTTTCCTCTGTTTTTAGTAGTGGAAAACATGAATTCATTTGCAAATTGTGAAAAGTTTACAGGACTTAGAACAATAGGTGTTTGATTAGATTGACAATTAATAACATAGTACAGCAGTCTTGAAATATTTTTGTAAACTAACTTTCTTGCTGAATTTGTGTAATTATTATGTGTAAACTTTTTGCAGAAAAAGCCTGCTTGCTTCTAGCATGTCCTAAGATAAATAAATCTAGTGAATAAATACACAGTTTTAAACATTTATGTTTGAGGCAGGACCACATAACCAAATGATGATTCAGTTTGAGAAGGGCACTGAGGCCTTTGTAATATTTGAAGCTGAAATGTACCTTTTTTATTTATAAATATCTACTTTTATTCTGTGTACTGAGAGAGGAGTACTCAAAGAGGAGTAGAAAATCTGACTGTTTTGGTGTAGTCATTCTCAGGCCTCACTGAGGTTTCCAGCAGCACTGTGCAGTGCTGTGGCACACGCACCACTTGGATGCAGAGTTTAGTACTATTGCTGTAAAATAGAGTGTGTGTAGGGAGAAATGCTGGGATTTGTGTTCCTTTGGTTCTGTTCTTAGCAAAAATCATTCTTTGTGCTCACAGACTTTACTTTTCCAAAGGATATGGGCTTTACTCTGTGCTTGAGTGGGCAGCAGTGACTTCCCATTTCTCTCAGGCCATGGTTTCTGGATATTCATATTCCATCTATAACTACATGGTTAGAAAAATAAATTGAAACCAAACACACTAATTGAAAATGCAGCACAACAGTAATATGTTGTGATAATTACTTGAAGCCAGAATAGTCTGTGTTAATTAAATGCAAGCGGGGTAGAGATTTTGGAAAGAAACCCTGCATTTCCAATTGAGGCAATAGATAAAGGCATTTTTGGTAGCAGTCAGTGCTGTTAATGTTGTGTAAAAAATCCCCAAAAATACCACTGTGGACTTGTATCCCTCTCCAGGTATGTGGACTGTGGTGCTGCCCAGGAGGACATCTGTGCATTTGTATCTGCTGGAACTACTTGTTCTCCTTTTCTCCTTGGTAGAATTTCCCAGTTCAGAGCAGTTTCTAGTGTGATTTACCTTTGCCCCAGTGTGTTGGTGCTCAGTGGGCTGGCAGGTCCAAAAAGAGGTATTAAATCTTTAAATTTTTGGTCTAAGCAGGGGAAAAAGAGGTGCCTGGGCTTGGGCTGGAGGTGTTACCTTCAGATGAGCACATTATTAAGACAAAGGATGGTACAGTCCAAGGAAACACTTTTAGTTTATGCTGAAACCTGGTGTCAGTCACCCTCTGATTTTCCTGAACCTGTTTTGGGAAGAGAGGCTGAGATGTGCCTGCAACATGTGACGACAGGCAGTGCAGGGTTGAGTGAGTGGAGTGAGGGGAAGCAGTATCAGGAATAATTAAGTTGATATCAATTGTGCTCCCTTTCTTCCTGTTGTGCACTCCAGTCACACAAAAACCCCACGGAATGAGCACATTTGAGGCAGGAGCCTGCATCAGTCACTTGGGATGCTCGGCACGGCTGGAGAAGGCGGCAGATGTTCAATCAGCGGAAGCTCCTGGGTTTCAGGAAGTGTGGCTTCAGTGCAGGCAGTGCTGCTGGAATCCAGGGGTAAAAGGAATTGGTGTTGGAGCTGTTCTGTAAATCCCGGAGCTCCATCGTGTGGCGGGAGCTGTGCAGGCCAGAGCTGCAGCCTTGGGATCAGGCTTGGGAGCTGGGGCTGCTGAGATTGTGCAGCTCCACAGTTGGAATCACTTTGTCCCCTTCCACATGTGCTGACAGGAAAAGCAGCCCTTGGGAACCTGACTTTTTTAACAGGGAAAGCAGATGACCCAAGGATTGTTTAAAGCTTGTCTTTCACGATGTGTTGTGCTAAAAGAGTGAATGCGCCAAGTGCACGACCCTGAGCTTCTGTGCTGCACTGGCTGTGACTTGAGCATCTCTGGATTCACTGGGGAAGAGAACACTATTCTCTTCAATAGAGACTATGCCAGCAGGATAATTTGTCAGCCTTCCCTAGTGCTGCGAGTGCCAGAACCCCCTGATATATGGTGTGAGAGAAGCAGCACTCAGCAGGCCCTCAAGGGAACCTGGCAGATCTTCACCAATAACATGGTAACATAGGTGACGCAGCTTGGAAAGACTGTTAAATAGCATCTACAAATTAAAAATGCCCCAAAATACAGGATTAATGTAAAGCAGAATACTATAAATAGAAATTGTTTCGTACATGCCAGGTTGGTTAGGTTTGGAACTAAGCTATGTCTAAAGGTGGAAAAGTAAAGCAGATCAATTTCTAGGTTTATTGTAATCATTGTGTCTTTCAGGTTTAATTTTAAAAAGAAATGCAGAAGCATTGCCTTACATTTTTACACAAAATTTTAACAGGTGTATAACACCTGTCTAGGTTTTCAGAGTGCTTCAACATTTCCAGTCCATCACAGAACAATCAGCTTCAGACACTGAATGTGGGACTTCCTTAACTTCCCGGGATCACTGTCCAGCTGAAGATGCAGAGTTGGAGCTGTGCAGCTCAGCTCCCTGGCCAGGCTGCCTCTACCCCTGAGGAATGGGAATTCGAATTCACAGGGATCCTACTCAGCTGCTGAAGGCTGGGATGCAGGAACAGGGAACTGAAAGTAATGTCAGCTCTGCCGGTGCTGATTTAAAGGGATGTGATGGGAGCCGGTGCTCTGTAAAGGTTTGACTCTGCCCCAGAGTTGCTGTTCTGATTTATTCCTGTTTTGGGCGTCAGGACCAAGTACTTGTGTCCATGCTGAAGTTTATTTTCTGGTAGATGTGTAAATTAGCAAAAGCAAATAGCGGTAATTATACCAGTTACAAGTGAGATTTTAAGGTTGAGTCACCCAAATTTGTCATCACTGTTTGTATAAAGGATTCTGTAGTAAGGCACTGAGGGGGCTGGAAAGTAATTTGATTTTGTGTCTGTCCAAGGAATAACGTCATCCCTTTGTGTGAGTGCACGGGATCACGCGCTGTGTGCTTGGCAAGGACATCAACGGGCATGAGGGTGCTCTTGTTCTGTGCTGGCTTTGTTTGCAGAGGGGGCTGAAAACAGCAGGCTGCAACTGGGATCAAGTACTAGTTAAATGTATTTTGTTTTTTAAAAACTGTTTTTCTCTAAACATTTTCAGCTATTGGATAAACAACCTGGACAAACAATCATTTTTCTTACCAGCCCTGTTCTCAAACTGTCCTTGCTACGGAGGGGATTCTGAGTGGTGCATCTGTTTGGCAAGTGTTCTCATTTCAGTATTCCAAGGTGATGTTGAGCTATGTTAATGTGGAAATTGGCTTTAAAGTTACATCAGGACATTTAGAGAAACTCAGACTTCTTTCTAATGGGAAGACTTGTCTTTTCAGTGTCCTTTTGGTAAGGTAGTTTAAAAGCTAAATGTCAGGATAGAGGCCATAATCTTCTTGAGGTTTTTTTCTAATAAAAGAATTCCTGTGCACAAGGCTTAGTGTAATTTAAGACTAGCAGAAAAAGCTCCAGGGAGTACTTTGGACAGTGCATGATTTTTTAATTTTTTTTTAGCTATTGTTACAATAGGTGAAAAGGTTGCTCTATGTAATAACATTTATTTAATCAGAATTACAAATATTAGGGCCTCATCCTGATTCGTATAAATCAGTCACATAGCTGTGGTCCTAGATTGCCTCATCCTGATTCGTATAAATCAGTCACATAGCTGTGGTCCTAGATTGCATTATTTTTAAGTTCTAAAGAGGAAGAAATGTGTGTCTGCCCATGGTGTTGCTGATAGCCTTTTCTTCTGATTTCAGGTGAGAAGTGACACCTGTGGAACATGGCTGGTAATTCAACAGAAGTTTAATGACTGTAGTTGCTATGATTGCTACAACTTGCTTACTTAAGACCCAAGCAATTGGTAAAATTTTGAAATCAAGAAACCTTATTTTTAAAGTAACTTCCTTCTGTGACTAGGGGGAGAAAGGGGAAGGCTTTTTCTCTGGTGAGTATTATAAATGCTGTCTGCAGCTAGCCTGACTTGTCTTGACTGAAGCAGCAATCCTGCCCCAGCTCTGAAGATGCCTGCACTGTGGGATGAGGTAGTAGGTTGTATAGTTTTAGGGTCATACCCACCACTGGGAGATAACTATACAATCTACTGTCTTTCCTAAAGCAGCAGATAATCAACAATGGAAGCTTCTCAGTTTTAAGATCGGTGTCAGATTTTGCTGAATTTCTGTACTTGTAGTGCTTATGACAGAACAAAATACTTGTAATAACTGTGAGAATTGTGTTCAGATTTTTCTAGTTCTTGGAAAAGCTAGGTTTCATTCTGCATTAATTTTTCTGCTCTAATCAATAAAAAATCAAGAATAGATTATTCCTGCATGTGTATGGTGGGGTAATTAAATACAAATTCCTGGTGTCCCAGTTGTTGGGGAGTTGTATCAAACATCCTTCAGAATGAAACTGAGGTTGGCTGCTGAGCTCTTGCTGAAGTCTCTGCTTCTCTGTCAGAGTGAGGTAGTAGATTGTATAGTTGTGGGGTAGTTATTTTACCCTGTTCAGGAGATAACTATACAATCTATTGCCTTCCCTGAGGAGTAAAACAAACTCCACTGCCTTGCAGCCAGTCCTGGGTTAAAAATACTCATTGAGAGAAACCAGATGAATTCAGGGTTGTAAAGCAGCAGTGCCAGAATGTACAGGACTGACAGTCAGTGTGAATGGTGCAACCCCCACAGGATACCTGTGACTTAACATGGCTTGTCTCCCAAGGTGAGTGTCACTGGCTGGGGATGGAAAATGCCCGTGCTTTAGGCAGAAGGTGGAACACTCCACAGAGGGATATTAATCCAAGTCAGTTAGGAGAATGTAAAATACAGGGAGCTCAAGCTTGTACACTGTGGCTTAAACTCTTCTGACATCCCAGTTTCCATAATGCATTAAAACTTAAAACTCCCAACTGCTTGGTAGAAGTTGGAGGGAAAACTTAAAATTATCCTTTATTAATAAGTCTGCATATCTTTCTGCAGCTTTTCCAGATCTAATGCAAAATTTACCGGCTGGCCAATTTTGGCCAAAACACACCTCACCTTTCTGGGGGAGGTGTGAAGCTATGGAGTTTGAGCATCCAAGAGCCAGAACTTACCTCTAAAGTGATATTGCTTCTGTAAAAAGACTTCTAAAGTTGATTGCATTCTTTTTCCTCCTGCTGTGCTTGGTGTACCCAGTCTGTAACTGGCTCTGTGCTATCATGCCCAGCAAGCAGTTTGCTGTAGTAACAAAAAATCCCACAGAAATAAATGCTCTTAGGGATGGGAAGTTTAGCTTAGGCAGAGTGAGAAAGGAGCCTTTTATGGGTGTTACAGGCAGTGAGCCACTGTTGGTCAGTGCTGACAGTGTCACCTCGGAATATATGCCCAGCCAGGGCAGAAGAGCAGAGCAGCTGGGCAGCTAAAGTCCTGCAGAGAGTGAAGAACTGCACAGAGGAAGCGTGGGGCTCCTAGGAAGAGGTAGTAGGTTGCATAGTTTTAGGGCAGGGATTTTGCTCACAAGGAGGTAACTATACAACCTGCTGCCTTTCTTAGGGCTTTATTATAACACCAGGACCATTTGGGCTCCAGCCTGCAAACCTCTGCAGCTTTGGGACATGGAGAGAAAGGACAATGTATTTCTAAGTGTGCTGAGGATTAATGAAAGCTGTGTCTTGGCAGATTTGGTCCCAAATGGAGGTGTAGGAATGCTGGCTGAAATGCAGCATGGTGACATTGGGGCTGCATGTGCCACCTGGGGGACACGGGGCTGTGGTAAGTAAGAGGCTGTGTGGGGAAGGCAGCTCCTGCGGGGTAAGCTGGAGGCTCTTGAGGTTAGGGTGAAAGTGGTGTGAACTGCTGAACATGAAAGTTCTGGTACTATGTGCACACAGGGAGCTGAAATACACCTTTCCTTTGGCTTAGTGCATTTCAAGTGGAAAAACTCCAGTTTTCCTTCCTCAAAAGCATCAGATTCCAGCTGCCCTGAAAGCTGGTGCTTTCTCACCAGGCATAGGCCCTCCGAGTGAACCAAGTTCACAGTGGTGCATTATTTATAGTCCTACAGGAGGGGAGTTTCCAGTTAAAAACAGTGGCACGGTTTCTCATGGAATTGTTAAAAATGAGTCCATGTTTTTTGATGTAATTGCGGTGCACCACAGCAATAGTTCTGGTAGGGTTCTGTCTGGACACTACTCTGTGGGGTATGGAGATTTCAGTTCTGAGCACCTTGCAGCATTAACCTGCTGTGCTCACACCAGCTGCCATTTAAATGGCAAAGCAACACAGTCCTAGCTTATGTTAAGTATTGCTTATATTGAACATTTTGTGAATTTAACTGTACTTTTTTTATTTAGTTAATAAAATACAGCATTTTGTGCAACTGATGGTGAATTGCCTTTACTTTCTCCTAAATGAAGGTGTGAGTTTTAAAGGAAAACAGTTCCCATATGGAAATAAACTCAAGGCCATGTTTGGTCTTCACTATAATTCCAACACTAATTATAGTGTTAATTATTCTAGTATTAACTTCTGTTTAAGATCTTTGGTACAAGACTTCACTGTGGGTGGGGAATACCTATATACTGCTGAATGTGCAGGAGCTCTGCTTATTCCAGACCTGGTTTCTTACCATGAGTTTAAATTGCTGCACAAAAATCTAGACTTTAGGCTTAACATAATTGCAGCTGGTAAGTTAGAGGTAAGGCTCAGGCAGAGGAACACTGGTGAGTTTGATTTCAACAGTACCAAATGCCTTAAAAGGTTTAATATACCTAACATTTTATAAATATAAGTGGTATGCTTACAAAAGGCTTAAATACTCTGTGCTATCCACTGCAGCTGCTGGTTCAGCACTCTTGTCTTACCAGGTGATTTCTCACCTTGATCTGTCTGTGGATTCCACTCAGTGGATGGCATCTGCTCAGTGAGGCTCAGGGTTGGTTTATCTTTTCCATGTGTGTATTCTGAGGGGTGCAAGGATCAGGTGACAGCATGGCAGGAACGCTTGTAATAAAAACAGTGGTTAAAGAATGCACAGCGAGCTGTGCAGGAAGGCTTGCAGCAGCAGGGACTTGTTTACCACCCATAGTGCAGTGATTGTGTCATGGTGGTCTTGGAAACATTCCAGTGTTGCTCCAAAAATAGAATGCGTAGCCCCAGCCCAAATGCACATCCCAGGAGAGTGATTTATGTGCTGTGCCCTTCCATGCAGAAAGGTGTGCTGAGATCTCCCTGTAGTGTGAAACCCAAGACCTGCTGGGCTTTTTCTGGAAGAGAAACTACTGCTAATAAACATCCCTGTGCTTGCAGGGGGCTCTGGGACCTTGTGCCATAATCATGGTAAAGGAACTTCATGCATTAAAAATTCTCTCCCTTATGTTGCGAACTTGGGCGTGGCAGGAGGAGTTTCCCTCTACTGTGTCCAGCTCTGGAGTCTCCAGTACAGGAGGGATGTGGAGCTACTGGAGAGAGTCCAGAGCTGGAGTCCCTGGACCTGCTCCCAGGGCTGGAGCCCCTCTGGAGCCGGGCTCCAGGGAGAGCTCAGAGCCCCTTGCAGGGCCTGAAGGGGCTCCAGGAGAGCTGGAGAGGGACTGGGGACAAGGGATGGAGGGACAGGACACAGGGAATGGCTTCCCACTGCCAGAGGGCAGGGATGGATGGGATATTAGATCCTGGCAGTGCTGGGCTAATGGTTGGATTCTGTCTAAAGGCCCTTTTCCAACCTGAAAGATTCTGTGGCATCTTTATGCCAAAAAGCCCTTCTTGTTCTGTCCCTGGGTAAGCAGCAAGCTGGACTCTTAATAGGTGCAGACATGTTTTTGCTTGACAAGACAAAAGATAAAATATCTGATACATATGCAAGGGGAAAACAAAGACCCTTGAAAGAGAGGAGAATAAATCTCACATACACTGGTCAAGAGCCCAGTGAGACAAGTTCAGCTGAGATTATTGCTTTCAGCTGAGCCTCCCAAAAGAATAGACATCCCACAATTCTAGAGCCATCAGAGCATGGTGTGGCCTTCACACCCCAAGCGGAAGCTGTGTATTTAATCTCATCGTTCTGTAAAGATGAGTCCTGGCAGGAGCTACTGGAGGCATCAGATGTCAGTGTGGGTTGTTGCAACACGAGAAATCTTATTTGTTCTATTGGTTGTAGTGGAATTGGATTTTTAGGCTGGCTTGTTTCAGACACTTAAAACCACTCCAGTGAAGAGGCGCTGGAAAATCAGACACTGTTCTCTTCCAGCCTGTTGTATTAAAGCAATCTTCAAAATAAACCTATTACAAGCCTCATAGTGCTACTAAGGCCTGTATTTTTGGTGACTGAAAAGGTCCTTTCTGAAACAGGAGAATGTTTCTGAGAAAATACTCCTTTGACATGCAAACTCTGTACAGATGATGTCAAGCTGGTTAGTTAAACCCAGCACAGCATAAAAGCAAGGAAAATGATCAAGTCATGGAAGTCCCAGTTCGGTGAGGGAGTTTGCTACTCCCTGTATACCTCATTTTATGTATTTTACACCCTTCAGTACACTCCCAACAGCTCTGTGTAAATGAGGGGAAAGGTGCAAGCAGTGGTCAGTCAATCCCAGTGTCCCAAAATGCTGCTGTGAACCTTGATTCTTAGCTGGAAGTGATTTCTGCAGTAGCTCCCTAAAATGAGGAGGGTTAAGGAGGAAAAGGAGAGGTGTAATTTGAACTTCCCAACTCCTACAAGAGTAAATTTGTCCCTGACTCAAACAGGACCTGGTACAAAATACCGAAGGGTCTTACACCAAAAGAGCAGCCAAAGCCTTTCCTTGATGTTTATTTTACAGAGAGCAAGGCTGAGACTGTTTTTAGAATCTGATGTAATTCCTGCTTGGTTCTTCATCAGCTGCCCAGCACTGCTGCAATTGTCTTGTTCTCTGTGCTGCAAGGAAAAGGATGCACAGAATGCAAGGGATGTACAGACAGCACTGGAGATCTTCCTCAGTTTAGAGCAAACCTCATCCAACCAGTGGAAAAACCTACAGATAAGTGAAATAGGTGGAACATTAGGCCTGAGTAACTAAGAAGTGTGAAATGAGCAGAGTACATGAGTATCTGAAGGATGCAAAGGCAGGAAATAGGATTCTTGTTGGAGGCTGGTAAAAAGTTTCAGCTTACTGTCACACAAATGTGCAATGAAGGGTGTGAAACTTGTGCAGGGAGCTGAAATGGGTGCAGTGCCAATGAGCAGCTCTACTGAGCCATCCTTTGACAGGAACAGACGTGTTTAAACCTGGCTTCAGCTGAGTCCAGAGAAATCCTTCCCTTAACCTCAGAACCAGATTTCATTTTGAACTTAGAATGATTCACAGAATCTTGAATATCCCAAGCTGGAAAGGACTCCTGTGGATTATTGAGTCCTACTCCTGGACCTGCACAGGAGACCCCCAGAATCCCACCCTGTGCCTAAGGGTGTTGTCCAAACACTTGATTGAAATAAAGCACACAATTAACTCATTACATTAATTAAGAGAAGACTTAGCTAAGATACTAATTATTAAGTATTCTTTATTAGTTATATTGACATACTATAAATTAAAATATTTTAAAATAAAATTATTAGAATATTAATCTACTCAGAGCTAGGAAAGGCTTATTGTTGACTGAGTGAGCAGCAGGAAGGTGAGGATCTGGGAAATGCCCCGAGCACTTTTCAGGGGCCCTGTACCAGCCTGGACCTCTCAGGGCAGAGACTGCTGGCTTTGCTGGGGGACTGGTGGCTTTCAGAAGTGTTTGCCTTGAGGAGCTTGGCCATGTCTGCTTACCCTAGCCATGAAGAGAAAGATGGTATTAGTACTCTGAGGGATACAAGAGTTAATATCAATAATATAAATAAATACATATATAAATATTACATAAAATATATAAATATTTTATGTATTATATTTAGAAAAAAAAACCAAAAAAACCACCAAAAAAAATTATATCACAGAATCCTAGAAATGTTTGCATTGGAAGGGACTTTAAATGTCATCTTGTTCCACCCCTGCCATGGGCAGGGACACCTGCCATAGACCAGGCTGTTGGTTTATTCACTGTGAAGTGAATTAGACCATATGAAAATCTCCAATGCGTTTAAAGTATATTTCTGAGGTGTGTTATAAAGTTTTTACTCTTAATAAAATACCTGTTTTCTATTTCACATTTCAACCCTGGCAAAACCTGTGTTCCCCCTGGATTGCTGTGACTCAGTGAACTCCGTTGGGTTGCAGAAATTCTGAAATGGGGCCAAGAAATTCCAAGATTACCTTCTTAAAGAAAAAATACCCACTGCACTGCTAGTCCTTCAAATCCCATTCAGTGACCACAGTGTTGTATTTCAAGCAGGGCCAACATAAGAGTTTTCCTTTCAGCTGCTCTTAAAATGTAGGAACTGAAAATCACCGAATATCCTGAGCTGGAAGGGATCCACAAGGATTCTGGCCCTGCACAGGACACCTCACAATCCTACACTCCCTTCTATCCCCTTTCCTTTGGTTTTAGGAGCAGCATGGTGCTTCTGTGAAGCTCAGATCCCATGTCTGGATCCAGATGCAGCACAGCTGTACACAAAGCTTTCTACTTTCTCTGCCCATTCATGTCACTGTTGGCTCACAGAGGGATATCCCAGGGATTTTCAGACTCCACTGAGGTACAGCTCTGACAGCAGCCAAATCTAAGCTGCTCTGGAACTGTGTTTATTGCTTTTAGGGTGACTGGTGGGGAGTGCAAGTGCTCAAGAACTAATCACCAGAAATCCAAATCAAAAGTGGTGATTGGTGAATTCAATACTGAACAGGGTGAACAGCACAGAGCTGATCACTGTGTCATCCCTCTCCAACCCAAACACAGCTCTCTCCATCGAAACTGGCAACAGAAGACAGTCCAATGCTGCTTTGAGATTTAGAAAAAATTCTGTGACTGGATAACAACAAAACATCTCCTGTGCACCTCTGCCCTGGAGCCGCTCCTGGGAGAGATGGGGGAACTCACCTGGAGAGGAGAAAGAGGGGTTCACAACCCCTCCCAGGGCCTGAAGGGGCTCCAGAAGAGCTGGAGAGGGACTGGGGACAAGGGCTCTAGGGACAGGACACAGGGAATGGCTTCCACTGCCAGAGGGCAGAGTTGGATGGGATATTGGGAAGGAATTCCTCCCTGTGAGGGTGCTGAGGCCCTGGCACAGGTTTGGATGCTCATTTTCCAGCACCAAACATGATCATTGTCAGACAGATAAGCCATGACAAGTGTTTTTCCTACAATAAAATAAAACAACACATCATGAAATAGAGCTGAAAGGTCTGTGTGTCCACGAGCTCCGTTCAGCAGTGTTTGAAGCTGGGAGAACGCCCTGGCTGCCCTTTGGCCAGAGCA